TTGCCAAAGCTCTGCTAGTTGGTTGTCTGGCTCCATAGCATAACACTTTAATTTTTTTTCCCTTACGCTCCTTTTGACATGAATAAATAGCAATAATCCTTGTAGGTTGATTTATTGCTTGAGCAGATGATTTTTTACTGCCAGTAATATATGGGCTATTGCAATGAATATTACAATTCATATGCAGTGCAAACTTTGAAATTTCTAGTGTAAATTTCAGTTGCACCATTAATTAATGAGGGAAATAAAATATCTAGTGCTTTACCTATTTGCTGTTTCTTGAACTGAATGAAATTCTTTGTTCAAGATCTAAAAGTCACTTAATGTACTGAATTTTTATTGAATTAAAATGGCTTGAGGACTTTTCTATATTTTAAAGCTTTATTTATTCGTTATTGATTTACTTTTATCTTATGTAGATATGCATGTGCCTGTGTAAGGTTATGTGCACCACATGTATGGTGTGGCACCTGTGGGCCTGAGCAAAGGGCATCAAATTCCCTGGAGCTGGAGTTATGGGCAATTATGAAAATCTTCATGTGTGTGCTAGGGAATAAGAGACCAGTACATTCTCTTAACCGCCTTTGCAGCCACCATTTATCTCTTTCTGTATGTATGTGCATATTTAAATAATCGCTATAATCATTCATGTTCTCTTTTTTATTTTATTTTAATCTCACTGTCACCCAGTTTGGCTTCTGTAGACACCATGAGTACCGAGAAGTTCTGATTTTTGTTTTGGGAATTGTACATTATTTATAGCTCATGTCTGATTTATGTTGTTAATTGTGTAATAGAAATCATCAAGTAAAAACAAGCTCAAAAGAAAAATATGTTCTGTGACTTTAAGGTCTCAGGAAAGTGTAACTATGAGTACCACAACTGTTTACTAAATGACCACTTAGTCTAGAAAGCCAGACATCATGAAATGTTAAGTCAATACACACAGGCAGAAAGCGAGACTGCGCAAAAGATGGATTTATCGTAGATCTGGGCTTGTGTAAAATTTGATCCTGAAAAACTCCTTTGGATCGTGGGAAGAATAGCTGCCATAAAATGGCATCATTAACAACAGTTCTTTGGCACTGGGACTAGCAATTTACTTATGAGGAAGTAATAAGAAATATGAGCTTAAAACTTTTTCTTCAGTGATATTTGTAGTAATGAAAATCTTGGAGGTAACGTAAGTGTCCATTCCTTGAGAGAGAAGCAAATGTAGCATGCGTACTACGGTGTATCTGAGGAGGGTTGTGATGTCATATATTCCTAGAGACACACATACTGGACCATGATGCCTAAACTCTGCAAAGTAAAACATTTCATAGGAGAAATCAGGATATCATCACAAACAGTGAAACGAGCAATATGAGTATAGAACATATTTGCTTATTCAACACTTCCCTGCACTTTCACAAATCTATTTTATAATAGTAATTTGATCACTGAATTGGAAAAATGAAGAAAAATATTGGCTAACGTGGATAGTTATTGAAATTCTAGCCCTCTGTGCTTTACAAAGTCAGGAAGTTTTAAAGTCAAAACAGGAATGCTAACTTTACATTTTCACTTTTATTGATTGGTTGATTGATTGATTGATTGCAATACTGGGAACTCATTCTCGGATCTCGTACATACTAATCAAAGTGTCTACAGCTAAGCTGGATCCTTGTGCCTCCTTTCACTTTTCTGTCTTCAGAGAGTCTGTCTCACTAACTTGTCCAGGCAGGATACAGAGTTGTAGTAATCCTCCTGTTTCAGACTCTCGTTGACTCTGATTAGAAACCTGTACCAGCAGTCTGCCCCGAGCTCTTTGCCTTTGACACCAGGACCTCGTGTTAGACGTATCCATGAGAACAATTTGATCAGTGTTGACTTCATAAGCCACCTTTCTGTATATAGACCTGTCTACTGATGAAACTGTTAATGTTGGAAGGAACACTCTTGTAAGAATTTAAAGTTCTGGGTATTAGCACCGCTTAATACCTCTTGTATTAAAACCCAAATGATTACCTTCCAGAAAGCTATAAAAATGACTACAGTGATGTTTCAGTCCTTATAATTAGGGGTGGCCAAGAGGTTCTAGTTTAACTTTATGTGTTAATGAGGCAAGATTCATATTGATTGGATTTTCCTTAAAAGGAAGTCAAACACTACTTATTATGTGAGGGAAATTCATGTTGAGGGACTGCTTCTTATGTGGAAATACAAGGTTTATGGAGTATTTTATTGATTTTCCTTCTGAGTAATATTAAGCTCCAAGGTAATCTTATTTTTTCTTTATTATTATTATTTCAAATTTAGGCTATATATTTAGAGAGAGAGAGTCAATGGAATCATGGAACAAATCTTTTTTTTCTGTTTTGAAGTTTCATGACTGGTGAAGACAGAATACTTGATTTGAAATGAATCCTTAAGTTTCTTTTTAGATACAATTAAAAAAAAAAACGCCATCATATTTGGCCATTCCCAATTCTTCCTAAAGAAATTTTATTCTAAATATAGGTTCTATAGATATGCAGCGTGGCCTTTTTGGCATGCGGTGGTGGGAGGAGAATGTCAGGTGTCCTGCCTTAGACAGGGTCTCTCCCTGAACTTGAAACTTGGCCACTAGTCAAAAAAACCCAAGTGATCTTCCCTACTACAGCATTGGGGCTGTCAGCACACATGATCACATTTATAAAGTCACAGAAGAATGGAAAAAAATGTGGGTAAAGGAAGAGCTTGGTAAGTTCTATTTAATCAAAGGCAGTGAGTTAAGCACATGATTGAGATCAATCTCACTCACTGTTGGTGAGCTCACTCTTGGACTGGTTGGTTTATTATGGGAAAACATTGTGGAATTCAGGACTGCAATTGTCTTACATGTGTAATGGTATGTAGGAAATGAACAGCTCCTAGGAAAAACAAAGAACTATTTTCAGAAATTGTAGCCCTGAATGAATTAGTCTGGAAGCTGAGAGTCTGTAATAGTACAGAGGTTAGAATGAAGAGCAAAGAGTAGAAATCTTAGTGGGTCTTAGGAAAAAAAAAAAATGTTCTAATAGTCAAGTTCAAAATTTAGAAGAGGCTGTTTTTCTAAGCTTGTTAAATTTAGTCGTTAAAAAAATAAAACCAAATTTGGTTCAAACTTTACCGTGTTTAATGGATGAGAAACATTGACCCCTCTTTGTGGAGGCCTCTCAGTGTTTGTTGTGTAGTGCGGTGAATGGAGAAATGCTTTTATCTCTGTCTTCCCCCTCCCCTGCAGATTGAGCCTCATGCAGTGTCCTTTTATTAGAAATGCTGTAGGTAACTTTGTATGGGAGACATGAGTTAGAAACTGATGTTATCTGTGGTTTGTGAGTCTGTATTGCCAGGACAACTTGGGTGCATATCAGTGCTTTAGGTGCTCCCATATCTGCACAGGTGAGGCATCACACTCACATCAAAATTCATATACCAGTCTTTGCTTGTGTCTCTCAAAACCTAGTAGATGTGATCCAGTTTGTAACCAGCGTACTATTTTCCCAAAGACTCTGAGCTCACTCACGCCTGGCCTCGTTCCCTTATGTTTCATGATTGCTTTGAACACTCTCAATGTGAACCCCACACCTCTGCAAAGTCTCAAGGCAGGAGGGTGGCTGCCTCTCGTGTGCCTTCTTCTCCTCTTGCGCCTTCTCCCTCTCGTGTGCACATCCTATTTGGATTTTTCTCACTCCACAATCCAGACCCTGTAATATAAAGAAAAGGACTTTCGTTAAAAACAAGAACATTTCTTAGATGTTGAAACAGCAAGAAGTTGAGCCAGTAAATGATGGGAGATGTCCTTCTGTATGCTGTGAATATATGTTTCTCTTATTGATTGGTGAATAAATGCTGATTGCCAGTAGCCAGGCAGGAAGTGTAGGCAGGGCCACCAGACTAGGAATGCTGGGAAGAGAAACACAGAGAGGAAGTGGTGGTAGAGGGGTGGGTGTGGGGAGACGCCATGTAGTCACAGAAGGAGTGACGTGCCACTCCTATTACAGGCAAGCCACAGCCTCATGACAATAGTTTTATAGAAATGGGTTAATAATTAAGAGAGAGCTAGCCAATAAGAAGCCCGAGTCATCAGGCAAACAATTTATAATTAATATAAAACTCTGTGTGTTTATTGGTACTAAACAGCTGTGGGACCTGGTGGGACAAAAACTCCAACATCAAGCAGAGACAAAGGCTCTCCATATTTTCTCCCTACTGCGTCCCCTTGTTTTCTCTCCACACTGTCCCCATTCTCTGAGAACACAGTGCCGCAATTGTGGTGCAGACAGGTGAAGTGATCCATGAGCCATTTCAGGGGAGCTGCCACATTTGTGATTATCTAGTGGAAGCTATGTCTACAGTTCCTCCCACTAAATCATAAGGGAGAATCCAAAGACAATTACATGAATAAGTCCTCATAGTGAATTTATAGTATGAGGAAGATGTAAAGGAAGAAGAAAAATACATCATGAAAATGACTCAAGCTCTATACCTGTGAAGGCTGCCTGACCAGAGTGCTGACGGTTCAGGAGAGTTCATGGAAGATGTAGATTTTAGTAAACATTTTGAAGATGTGAAGAAGATCGCATGACTAGAGATGTCAGTATGTGGCGGCCTATGAGCCATTAATTGCTGAAGTGCAAGGTCTGGGTAGGATGGGAGGAATTACTTCCAGGGATAGTGAAATGCCCCTATTCCTGACCATGCAGCTCCTCCCACCCATGGGGTGGGTGCTTGCAGAATGTTAGTTATACCTTTTCCTATTTCCTACATTAAATATCTCCCAAAGTCCTAAAGTATAGATACACCTCTCCTATCCTTCACCTCCTCATTCACAATGATTGTTTAATACATACTAGTTGAATTAGAGTTTATGGTAAACTAGTTGGGGCAGTGATTTTTAAAGGGCAAGTACATTGCTTTTGTTGATAAGTGTGAGTTTAATGTTGGAAATGATAGAAATTTAAACATGTTAATGATGTGATCAAATGATGTTTCAGGAAGAAGAACCTTTCCTGTTGGTCCATTTTTGAAGTGGAAGACAGAAAATCTTGTGATGCCCATAGGTGTTCACTGGACATTCAGGGAAGCCATGGCCCACATGGGTGGTATATGATACTGAACAATAAACTACCTTTAGTCACCGAAATTTTCAAATAGATGTTATTAGTCTTATTGAACTTTGTGGGCTGGCCAAGTCACTTGGAGAATTTCACATGTGTGAGGAAATTCTTCTTAAAGCTTTCTTTGTTTGGTACTGCTGATTATAAATAAGACTGATAGCACGCTGTGGAGTGAGGTTTTGGCAGGCTCTAAATAATGTGTCTGCACACACAAGTGGGAAAGAATGGAAGTAGAGCTCTAGATTTAAATTTTAGAGAAGAGTTATTCTCTTAGGGACTGTCCGATGAGCCATCTAAGAACTGATCTTACACACTACTCCACCCCCTACAGAGCAGGAATGTTTTAACACAATTGCTGGTACTGACGTGATAAACGTAGTTATCTGTAGATTTATGTTTACTCACTCACAAAAGACCTGCTCAGGTGACTTGTTTGTGTCTAGGATTGGTAGTGATAAAATACTTTCTGTGTTGACGACTTCAGTGAAGTGTTCAATGATTTTTCTTCTCATTTTTTGCAGCCTTGGTTTGACTTTATAGCCTAGATTTATTTTTTAAATTTCACGTTTATGTTAGTTAAGAAAGTAATATGTAATGCATGTATACAAAGTTCCTGACTTTCATTGTGCATATATGCTGAGGAGAGTATGTGCAACTAAGGGAGAGATTTCTACTCAGGAAGGAAAACCAACCTAAATGTCCTATTGTGTTGATTTGCATTTGTCTTCTGAGGCCATTTTTATATCAAATAATAAGTTTAAAATGATACAATTTGCAGCATCCTCTCTGAATGAGATTCCCTCTTCTCCTTTTCTCTCTTTGTTTCACTAGGGATTGAACCAGGGACCTCAAGCATGCTAGGAAAGAACTATGGCGCTGAGCTTCCTCTCAGTCCTAATGAGACTCCTGTAGAAACCTTTAACCTGACCCTGAGTTAGAAATGTACTGAAATGTTAAAAATTTAACATGATGTAAATACTAGAAAAACGCCGTAAAAATTCCACGCATTCCATGCATTGTACATTTCTTTATATATTTAAGATTCATGGATTATAAGAAAGTATTGGCAAGTATACACAAAGCAAGGGGTATTGTATTTTTGACGCTGATAAAGTAGCTCTTCCATTTAATATAAGTAATTGGAGAAAGAGTAGCAGGGGTCCTTTAGAGAATCCATGGATCTGAATTCTTCCTGTTCTAATAGCTTCCAGCATCTGCTGTCTAGTCTCTGGACAAAAAGATGTTAAAAAGTACTTCAACAAGCCACATGAATACTTTTCTTTCTGTTGGCTCCACAGTTTTACTTAGAATATTGGCTTTTTGGGTTAATGCCAGTGGTTTAGATCGTAGTGTAGACTTCTTCTGAAGGCTGTGGGAAACAATAATACAATAAAATCTTTGACAGTGTATTCTGTTATAAAGCGTAACACTCATTCTTAAAAGGACAACACTCTAAACGTTATGTCAACAAAAGATAGTATTACACACACACACACACACACACACACACACACACACGTGCCATTTCAAACAATAGTTTTAATGATTCTGAATTCTTAAAGAAATTTACTTACAATGACATAAGTATGTTAATTAAAAACTTAGAGAAACAATCAGTGAAAAGTGAATGATCAGAGACAGGAAGGAAAATAAATTCTGGCCACAAATATTTGCTCGTTGTGGTACTTGTTTCCTAAGCCCAGGAGATGAAATTTCAGTTTGTTTATAAGAACTAGCTAGTCCTCCCTCAGATGGCACAGTGGCTACTTTTTTTTTTTTTTTGTATGAATGAAAACTTCATGTCCCAGAGAATAAAATGACAAGGACTCACGTCGTCCCCTATCATGTTTCTGACTTTGTGGAATGGGAAATTTATACACCCCCCCCCAAAAAAAAAAAAGAAAAAAGAAAAAGAAAGAAGAGAAAGTATACAACTCAAAGAAGTATGGCTGCAGTTTCTGAGCGTATTCTGTACAACAGATCCCTCTGCCTGTCATGACTTTGCTTTAGCTGGTAGGGAGGCACTGGGGCTGGCCTGATGCTTTCTGGTTTCATTAGCATAGCCACGCCCACTCCCAACACACGCCCAGAACTACCTCATTAACCATTGGGAATGCAGCCAAAAACATAAGACGACAGTGAATATAAAGGGAATTACTGGCAAGGGAGCTGTAACCATCTCACCACTGAACCCATTACTATTCCAAGATCAGCAAAGTATTACTGTAGCAGGAATCATTTCTTTATTCAGATAAGAATTCAAGGTTTGGGTCTATACTTTTTATCTAGAATAATTAGCTCAGTTGCATCCATTTATGTTTTTGCAACCTCTCGCTCTCCCTCTCCCCTCTCTCCTCTTTCCTCTCTCCCTTTCCCACTTATTGTTTTCTGGATAGCTTTGAGATTGTAAGCCACAGACGGATTGGAGCCTGGCATTGGAAGGAGGTGTGCAACCACGTTTATTTTTTTTTTAATTTTTATTTATTTATTTATTTTTTATTTTTTCTCCCTATCTGAAGAAGTTGACAGGAGGGATTCTGAAAAATGACAGGGGCAAAGAGGAAAAAGAAAAGCGTGCTGTGGGGTAAGATGCACACCCCCCACTGGGAAGACATTAAACAGTGGTGTGAGAGGCGCCTACCTATTTTGGAATGGGCTCCACAGTACAACCTGAGGGAAAACCTGCTTCCAGACACCGTGTCTGGGGTAATGCTGGCAGTTCAACAGGTGACACAAGGTAAGTGTGCATTTGAGTTTACAGTTTCATGCAGAGTGGATGTTGCCTTACTTCTTGGATGGGGATTATGATCTAGTCGTGACAGTCTAGCTAAAAAAAAAAAAAAAAAAAAAAAAAACAACAACAGAATTTTAACAAAATGGATATTAACTTTAGGACAATAAGTAGAGTAGATATTTCTGTGTAAGATTTTCCTAATTGTTTTTAAAATTACTTGGCTTTTTTTTTTGGCTAGGAATTAAGCAATTACACACCAATGGAATTACATACTTTGGAATGTTAAAGTTTATACTTATTCAGAGTAAAAGATCAGTAACTGTGGGAAAATGAACTCTTATAAGTAAACTGTGCTGACATAATTTCCTACCTTCATCGAATCAAGTTATAAAATTTTTCCTGTTTGGAACACAACCACCTTTGAGTCTAATTAGCACCACACACTTACCTGCTGTAGCCTTGGGACTTGCTCTAAGCAGGGAACAAAGCTCTTAGTACATAAAGAAGGCTTCCTGCCAAGATCCCTATTCGCAAAGAGAATCTTACCCCCTCAGAGCATGTGCAGGCTGCGTGTGTCTGTTTACTTCTACAGTGCATTTCCTGCGGCATTTGTGTCTCAGTGAGAAGTGTAATGTGAAGAAATCGGACTTCTAACTTTTTCAGAGCAGATTCAAAACAAGACATTCTGGGTTGATAGGTAGGTGTGTGAGTGTGTGTGAGTGTGTGTGTGTGTGTGTGTTTGTGTGCGCGTGTGTATTCATGTGTGTGTGTTCCCTATAGGTATGTTTACACAGGTTTTGGCTAATTCCGGTAATAATTTTCTACCTGTGGACTGGAAAGGAACTGATTTCTGGACTTCCCAGCTTTAAAACTTTGGAACAGTTTTCCTGGCAAAGACTCTTTGGGATTGTATTTCCATGAGGTCTCACTACCTCCCTGGCTTTAAGTATTATTTATTCTGTTCAATTATAAGCATGCTTTTAATGAAATTATTCTGTAGCTGGAACAAACTGGTTTGTATATTTGTGTTTTCAGGCTGATTAGGAACATCTGCACAGGGTCCTTTAAGAACCACAATACTATCATACTTTATGGGACCCAACTTTACTGCTTAATTCTGTGTTGTAGTTTTAATGACCATTTTGCCAACAGCAAAGCATAGTAATCTTTAAAAAATGTAATGTTAATAACGGGTCAGGACATCTCTAGGCTTTTTTATATGTGATTTTGAATTCCAGATGAAACACCATCATGTCGCTTGAAAACTTGGGTGATGGACTGAAAACGGGGTTTCCCTCCCTGACTGGATAGTTCCACCATATCCCATAAATTTATTTTGTGGATATTTAATGCAAAATGAAAGAAGAGTAATTATGACTTTAGCATCCAGTGACCCAGAACATTTGGGAATGTCATACAGTTCCTATGTCATACAGTTCCTTGGGCTCACCATTTGGATATGGCTTCTGTGTAAGCTTTTGGTAGTTAGCTTTGTTTAGCTTTTCAGTGGCTCTGGTTAATGGGTCATGTGTTACATTGATTAGGAAGAAGTGCATGGGTAAGTGCCCAACTGGTGAAGAACAGAAAGCTTACTCAGCTTTAATACCATGAGAAGCTGGGACCAGTCTGTTCCATCTCCTGTAAATGGACAGTTACACTGCTAGGAAGAATGTAAATGCTTTTTGTGTTGTAAGAAAAGGTGAACTCTTCTTCAAAGGACATTTTACAAATGCACTTCTCAATCTTTTTCAATCTCTTCTACTCTGAAGAGTACAAAGGTAAAATATTATGAACCCACCATGTGTTGTTAGGGACCCACTATTTAAAAGAATCCAGAGTTAATATCAATCTTTCCATGGGAGGAAGTGGAGGCTTAAAATGGTGGGGACGGGACTCAAGTCCAAAGCCAACAAGCTCGACATTTGCACTGTATACTCCATACTGCCAAAACCATCAGTCTTTTCCTAACACCGTTGTTATTTGTAATAGGAGATATCTCTTTGGAAAAGGCTCAGTGTCTGTCTCTTCAAATGAGGTCCATGTTCAAGTTTCACCCCTGAAGTTTTAGAGTCAAAGCCGAAGTGAGCAGAAAAGCTCATATAGAGGATCATGCAGTCAGATTTCATTATCTGCTGGATGCTGATGCTGTTATCAGCGATGTCTCTAGGGAGATTAGGAGAAGGAAGGAGTGAAGCTTGCTTTTGTCCTGAGAATAACATTACTTTTGATTTTACTGATACCTATAGCAGCCTTTAAGTCATTTAACACAGTTGAATTATAAGGAATTTCTGAATTCAATGTCTTTTACCCTATAAATCCTGAACAGTGATATGATTCCACCTTGAAATCATTTTTATTTAAACTCTAGAAGTGGACTCAAAATCAAGATAATGAGAAGTGTCCTGAGTGATAGCACAGTCATGTTAATTATTTCAATAACACTTTCTAGCTGTGATAGAGGATATCCATATACCTGTTTCCTCTGTCACAGTTCTTCCTGTGGGCTGTTTTTACGAACCCCTTTCTTCTGGCTTTGTTGTTTTTCAATCCTATTTATTGGGCCTTCTCTCCTAATGAACCTCTGTAGATTTTGCCTCCTTTGTTTCCTATCAAACACCTTAGAGATGTTTATCAGATACCCTTATCTTAGAGACTCAAACCCTAGCCCCAGCTCAAAGCACTGAAGACAACTTCATCTGCATACGGGATTCTAACACTATCACTGTGCTACACAAGCTTTCTTTTCAGCCTGAGAGCCATGCATTAACCTATACCAACCTAGACTGTTCTAAAAGCACACCAGATGCCAGACTGCTCACACTGTCACTATGGAACTCATCTAAAAGTACTACAGAATGGAACATTTGGTCTTCTAAAACAAACACACTAGGCAATATCACTATCCCAATCAGAATTACAGTAAGTAATAATAAAAGAACGTTTTAGACACAAATGTACAACATTGTCAAGAGACCTCTTGGCATATACACCAAAAAGGGGTTTAGCGTGGATAAGTAAGTTGCCTGACGCCACACAGAAAGTAAATGTGAAAGGACATTTGACCTCGAATAGCCCTGGCTCCTGAACCTCCCTCTTGCTTTTGCACTCAGCTTTCTCTTGGAGAGGGTCCTATTTGGCATTCTGTACTTCCCTCTCGTGTGCCACCATCCCCTCCTGCTATAAACCAGTCACCAGGTCTTCGACATTTGTCCTCTAGCTATTGGGATGGAGTTTGTGAGCCCAAGGGAAAGATCATAGACTCAATCCAATTATAATCAAAAGACTTATTGATTAGTTGTATCAGGACAAACAACTTCTGAGCCTAATTTGAGGCTGCCATGAAGGAGGGGTACGGGGAGGGACTTTAAAGGGGGACCACACAAAGACCTTCAATATCTACACAAGCAAGCAAAACCTCTTCTGTTCTGCCAAGTTAAGTGGTTAAGGCAACTCAAAAAATCTTTGGGTGCCTGCATAAGCAAGTTACAGAAGGGGAAAAAAAAGCAGTTAGTCGTATCATAGCAAATAGATAGGCTGTACATTTTTGGGTGGGGGTCACTGAGTCAGGGTTACTGGGAACTTATCTTTCAGACTGGAGTCAGAGACAAACGACTGGTGGGTATCAACATGGATGCCTGGCGTAAAATGGAGCTTCTACAGCCATGACGTTATCTTTCCAAGCATGTAGCCTTGCTCTGCTGCTCAATGGGCTGGATTACTTAAATCTTTGCCTTGTGCCTCTTTATGCTCAGCTCTGCCTCCTCTGGATCTTAGGTCACACTGCTGCCAGTATACTATTAATAAAAACAAAACCAGTCCGGCCGTATTGCTGTGCAATATTCTTTAATACCTGTCTGTGTCTACTAGATTAGAAAATAGAATTACTCAGCACATTGTATTAAATGGTTAATAACCTGGACCTCACTGTTTAAAGTTACACGGATAGAGATTTCGCCTCCAGACTCCCTCTCCATCTCCTGGGAGGAGGGATGTTTTCCTCCTCCTCCCAATGCCCTTTTCATTCACATATCTCTGTGATAGGCTTTATTTAATACACAGTATTGCAAACTTCTGATAGAGTTCTTTCCATGGTCTGTGAACTCTGAAAACAAAGACAGCGTTCTCCTTTTTCTGTTCTTACAAAGCACAGGGAAGTAGATTTTTAAGTAAATATTGAAAGATTTAAGGCATTTCCTAGGCTGCTGTTTGTCCCATTGTGGCATGCTGACCCCGTAGGAAGACTGTTGAATTCAATTTAAAGCTGATGCCTTAAGAAAAAATTAAGAAATATACCAATAATGGAAAGGCATTAAAATGTGAGTAAAAGGATTCTTCTACTTTGTATCCTAGACAATCTGCCAAAGACGGTTTTCTTTGTCCCAAACAATGCTGACTATTTAACTTTTCTCTCTCAAAATAATGTTTTTGTTAATTCTTTGATAATTTCAGTGTATTTTGATCATATCCATCCCGCTCCTCCAAACTTTTCCCAGACATCCCCCTCCCCAAACTCATGCTCTCTGTCTCTGTCTCTGTCCCTCCCTCCTTCCCTCCCCTTCCTCCCCTCCCTCCCTCTCCCTCCCTCCTTCCCTCCCTTCCTCCCTCCTTCCCTCCCTCCCTCTCGCCCTTCTTTTCTTCCCTCCATTCCTCCCTTCTCTCTCACTCTTCAACCCATCAAGCCCAGTTTTCATTGGCTAACCATTCCTGGGTGTGAGGCCCGTCCTGGAGCGTTATAATGTTATTTATTTATTTTTGTCCAAACAACACTAAGAAGATGGATATGTCACATACCTTCTGTTAAAGAGGGAGGGCGTGGTCGGAGGGCGTGACCACACCCCCATGTGGGGGAGCTGCTCGCCCTTGCACTTTGGCAGGGTAGTTCTTGCTCTGCCAATCTCTTACCCACTGACCCCTCCCAGCTCTCCCATCACCTATAACCCTAGCTGCATTTGTTCCCTTTGCAAGCGGCTTTCTCCCTGTCCTTAAATAACATGTTTATAGGG